AAAATAACTGAACCATACCACTGACAGATTAATATAAATATCCTCACATATATACATATATATTCACACACACATATATGTTATTCTGAAAACAGTGGACTTCCTCTAAATTAAGACTATTACCCTACTAAAAAGCAATTATGTATAAAAATGACCAGACACATTCTGAAAGCTACGATAAATACTATAGCAGAAATAATTCCTGCAAGCCACATGCAGCATAACTGAAGCTAATGATAATTTTGACAGGCGTTTGATAGGTTCAGAAAATCACCCTACTGCTGCTGATTTTTTCCAACTGAAAAATCAAAAATACATATTTGCTCAGTTAGTATCTTTAGAATTATATCTCTTGTGCACTGTTAAAGCATTTCTGCATGCCATATAATTTTAACTGAGTCAGTTTTAAAGATTCCAGAGGTATTTGTAACACTGCCATGTGATAATTATTTATATTATGCTGTGTAGAATCACCACACAAGACCTTAAACTTTATGTTGACAGCTAAAGAAAATAGCATCTATACAAAAATTCTGGGACAAATTTTCAACTGGTGTAAATCAGTATACATCCATAACTTTGATGGAATTAAGATGATCTGCATTAAATTCTATGTATTCCTTCTGCATGTCAGATTTCCCTAGCAAAACCTATTACAGCCTATATTGGCCATAGTCAAGTTTCAGTTGTTATAGTCTGTAAGTTCCTTTCACAGCAAGAAGGAAAGAAGTATTCCTCCTCCCCCATATCTAATGAAGATGCACAGTGGGTTTTGATGTTTTGGAGTGAGGTTTTATGCATGTCTTGGGGATTTTTTGTTCAGTTTTGTGTTTTTCTGAGGGTGGTTTGGTTTATTTTTTAAGTATTCAATATAGTTAGCACCAAAATTTCTTTTTTCAGGGTCACAGTAGACTACATTCTTCGGCACTTCACTCAAACAAAAATTAGTATTTTTGAGTAGTTGATCTAACAGGCTTGTGACTCCAACTTACTTACAAAGAACTTCAAAAGAAATTATGCCCTTGTCCCTTAACATGATCAGGTTTTGATAGGGTGTTTTTCATGAGTTCGTAATTTCAGAATGAGAGCAATACCTGATTTTCAACAGCAGAGAGAAATTCTTCCGGTGTTACTTATCAACATAACTGAATAATGGAGTATTTCGGTGGCGGCCTTTGTGTAATCACCACATGCCCTGGTCACTGTGCTTCAGAGGAAATTAGAAGACATTTTCTTTTCATACCTATCTCCAGCCAATTTCCTCACCCTTCTCTCTTTTACACATGAGCACTTTTAAGTGGTGTAAATTACACTCTTTCCCCCCTTCATTTTAGATTTTCTTCCCCAGCCCCCCTACCCTTACGATACTTTGCCTTCTCATCAGAGAATAGAAGGGAAATTATCCAGTGGCATTTTATATTAATTTTATCATTAGTCACTACTAGTTAATTTATGTATTTATGCAAATTTATGTCTAAAGCAATTGTTCTTTAATCAGCTCACATATACCTGCAAAACTTAAGTTTCCAATAGCAAATTAAATAAAACTCTTTCAGTGACCACTTGCATATTTGCAGGCAAAGTCCAGTTGTGTGAACATACCTAGACAAATGCACATGAACACATCTCCATGCAGAAAGCTGCCATTCTGCTTACAGAACTTTATCAAAAAATAACCATAAAAAAGAATTCCTACAAAAAAGCAAATTTACACAACTTGAGGCCAGAGCCTCAAGTGATACGAAGGTTGTGTTCATTTACACATGAGGTGGAAGTGGTCCAATTTGCATCGACAAACAATATGTATCAGACTTGTCCATCCACAACCAGCACATAGAATGGGAATGTCCTTTGCTTGCAAAGTCAAGTTTAAAGGGTGATGCTTCTGCTGGTAGAAATTCATCCTATCTCAAAGCCCCACTACAGCTGGTGAAAAACAGTGAGTCTTACCTTTTAACATTTAAAAAAAAAAAAAAAAAAAAAAATCTATTTTACCTTGAGTGTGCTGCATTACAGCAAAGACAAGGAGAGTTAGAAGTGTCTGAGCACAGTGCAGACTAATCACCATGTCATTCAAAAAGTGACCTAAACCTTTAAATGCCTTTTTGCATGCCACAGTCATTAAAACACACCACCTGCTTTCCGATACCAGTTGAAACAAAGGAAAACCGGGAGTACCAGAACCTGCCGTACTCGAGTCTGTGGGAGAGCAGTGAGCACCACAACAACAGCAGCAGCAGCAACAGCAAGGGAAAAAAATCCTCATTTATAACCAGTGACAACTAAAACCTATGAAGTTTTTAAAAGAATGTGATTGTTGTCAAAAGGAATTGGGTACAACAATGCTGCGTTCAGCTCTGGTTCCACTCAAAGCCGTGGCTGAGGGGCTCTGGGAAAGCTGCTGGAAGGCTGGTGGGCACAGACCAGCAAGAAAGTGAATTTTGCATACTGTACGGATCATCGCTCAGTTCAGGGCAGTCATATTGAATCTGTGATCAACCAATTGTGCTTCATGAAACCGTCAGCCCTCATTTATGTCTAGCTGTTTTCTTCTGTCCTGCTGTAAACAAGCTCTGCTCTGAGCTGTCTCCCTACCCTTATCTGCTTACCAAGATCACACAGACAGACCTCATCAGCAGCCTTAGAGTTAAAGTTAAAGTTACTGCTTCCAGACAGCAGTCCCCACGCAAGCTGGAAGTCAAAAAGAAGAGCAACTTTGGAATGACAGAATTTTAGTTCCTTTTAGGAAATGCATACCTTGGATTCATACACATACTGGCATGTTATGTCTCTTTCATGAAATTAAATTAGGTGTTCCTAATATGAACAACTGTTTCTAACATCAGCAAACTAGCTCAGCAGATTCATCCACGGTTTTGTTTGTGGGTTGGTTGTTTTGGATTTTTTCCTTTGGGGCCTTGTTTGAATACAGCCAAAAGAGAAGTAGCTGGAAATATTGTCAATCTGGTAGGGCTCCAAGAACCTAATAATGCCTGAAATGCTCTAAGGAATGTAATGATGGTAAACAGGAGCAGGTATGTTGGCTTCTGTTCTCATTCACTTCAGCAAGAGCATTAGCCTTTCAACATAAAGCAGAGCACAGTTTTCAAAGAATGGTCCTCTTGCATAAAAAGGGATGGAGCCTTACTAAAAACATATTCCTCTGTGAACGCACGCACACACACACAAATGCGTTAGTTGGTATTTACAGCATTTAATTCTTGCAACCAGCTGCTAAGTCCCTGTTAAGGCTTTCCTTCATGCAGCTGGAGCTGGAACCTTTTCCCTTCTCCTAGCCTATTACTTTGTCTATTTAAGGGATGGCAGCCAAAGAGAAACAGCTTGTAATTTGCACCTGTCTGCTTTAAGCACTCCATGTTAGATTTTGCAGAGAGCAAACTCTTCATTGCTAATGAGAATGACACTTAATAGGGTCAAACATATTTTTTTAGCTGACTCTGCAGCAATTAAAGAAACAAATAAATAAATACCCACTTCGTTTAAGCCTGTTCTAGCTGGAGAACGAGGCTAAAGGAAAAGCCTCGTCAAAAAAGAGAGCTCAGTGTGTAGGTGGAAGAAGTAACCCCATGTGCCTATGAAATAATACTGGGCACAGCTAGGCATGACTGAACCTGTACACTGCCCATGTAGGAGCACACGCAGGAGATCTTTTACCACTTCTCCTATAAAATGCAGAATTGTTTCAGAAAACAACCATGTGCAAAGAATCCTTCTGAATTTCTGCATACTGAGCTGACTTTTGAGGACTCGCAGTATTCTTTGCTACCTACAGGGCTATGAGAAAGTTGTTCTCTGAGAATTAAAATGAAATGCATGCTTCACTTCTGATCCAGAGGCATGCAAGCATTGCCATGCAGAGATGCACTAGCTGGAGTGTAAAGCAGTGAAGGTGTACATCAAGAACATAAACCATGTGTGATCTTTCAGCTTTACAGAAACTACCTCAGCATGTTTGCTACTTGATAAAAAACAAGCATGGCGCTTTTAGTCAACTGTGATATCATTTGCAATTGCATTGAAAGAAACAATTTACTGGCATATTTGTTTAGTTACTAAAAAGTAGTCTTTCTTACTTGCTCTTAAAATAGAAAAGCCCTCAAAAACCTCAAGCTACAGAGCTGATGACAAGAACAGAAATGCCGGGGGGGGGGAGGGCGGAAAAATAGAAGGGAAATAGAGTAAAACATACAATATATTAAAAAAAACACTGGTGCTGCATTTTGATTTCATAAATTGTCCCTATTTGTACTTCCTGCTTAAACAATAACTAACATAATGATGGGTTAAATGAAGTTGAGATTGTCACAAACATGGCCTCACTAGTAATTAATGTAGTTTAATATGGTTGTTGGCACACATCTCACATGACAGATAATGTTCCAACATGTCACTGATAGGACCTTTCAGCACAGCTTTAGGAGATCTACCAGGCATTGCTGAGGTTGGTTAGGTCAAAGGGTTGAACCATGTGTAATTCAGAACAGAGGAGGTCCCACGGTCACTCCACAAAAACAATTACACTACTTATTTCACTCCATCCCTTGCCCGAAATTCACAAGCCTCACAGTTTCAGCGCAGTCAATCTCTCTCTGCCCTGGGGCTATGAGCCACATGAAAATATGTGGTGCTGTGTTTATAAATCTAATCAAAAATAGAAACAGTAGACAAGCACAATGAGGTCCTACTATGGATCATGGGAATTCTCTAAATTCTGAAGGCACTTTTGTTTAACTTCTGTGGGCCTTCTCCTACCATTACATTGTCTCATACTCTCGTTAATCATCCCCTTGACTTGTCAATGATATAAAGGAGCCTACACGTCTGCTGACTTCCCTCCCATCACACTACAAATAATATTATGAAATAGCAATGCGAGGAATAGCCCCTTCAAATTTTCTGTTTTAAAGTGTGTTTTTTCTTCACTTACCTCTTCCTCCATGCCAGCCTGCCCTTTCTCAGACCTGTGACAGAAAATGCTTCCTCCTGCAATGAAGAAGAGAGAGCACACCTGAATTTTCAGTCTGCACACAGCCATTAATACCCTTAGGTTTAAGACACAGAGTTGCAGAGCACCAGCCTAGAAACCCGCCAGGGTGGGGGGGTCTTCTCCTGCTGCAGTCCCTGCTCCTGCCTTGCCAAGGAGCAAAAGGAGGATATAGGGCTGTTCTTTCCTTCATTTTTTTGAAAACAAATTTCCATCTGATCATATTAAAAAATAGCTAGCAAAGATAAACAAGAAAAATGTCATTTAAGCTCAGGTGAAACAACACCAAAGATGTGGTTTAGAGTAGAAGTAACGCAGAAGTAATTCCTACCCCCAGACACTAACTACTAAAATGACACAGTTTGCTGTGGAACACATCTAACCTGAAGATTACAATACCAAAGCTGCCAGATTTAGGAATGTTTTTGTGATCCAGCATTTAAGTGGGTCCCACTTGTGCCTCTCTCTCTGTGTGGGGATCTCCATTAGAAGGAAGGAAATTCTCCTCTGCTCTGAGGTTATAACCATTCAGCAAACATACAATAACTTTACAAGTTTTATATCACACCAGCAAAAATGCCTCGATTTTGTACCAGTTGCTTTTGTCTCTGTGTGGGAAACAAAAATTATTCATTCAAAACGGCTAGACGGGTCGCCCCACGCTCATTGAAATCAATGACAAAACTCAGTCTGACTCCACAGTTGCAGGACCTGAACTTCAATGAATAGCAACCTTCTTCCTTTGCCAGCTTTTCCCTTATGCATTTATACAAACACACATTCAGATTATTTTGCAGAGCCTGAAAACAAAACAAGACTTTGAACAATTAAAAATATCCCTTCAGAGTCCCTCAGAAGCTTTAATTGACCTTCTGGGTCAGAAGATGCCCCATACAAAATACATGTTTGGCCTCAGCTGAGGAAACTCTCTCTCCTGAGGGCACCAGGCAAAGAAGTGCTTAATTCTAAGTACGCGCCTAAGTTTCATTGAAATCAATACAATGGACAGTGGACGGGGCCACAAATTCTCCACGGAAAAAGGCTGCATTGTCACTCTGGTTGCTCAGTAATGTATGAAGGGCTGAGCTTTTGCCCAGGCTTTGCTGATGCTGAGAGTCTGCTGACCTTTGCCATGGCTCCTCGATTTCGGTGCCCTCCTTGGGGTGCCAAGGCCATTGCAATGATGCTGGGGGCTGCGATTCTGGCAACTCCCGCTCCCCCTGTGACCAACCCTGCCCAAACAGCCCCTGAGCCATAGCCTACCATGCCCAAACTCCTCTGCTCCATAGCACTCTGCAATATTCAAAATAAAGCCCCCACTGGAATCACACGGGTAGGCTCAAGTCACATAGCTAGTCATTGTATGTCTCAGAAAACAATCCCAGAGTCCCATTCCCAAAATCTGGGGTGCGTTTACAGGCCAAGGTAGTACGTACATCACTAATTCAGCTGCTGCTCTAATCCGATCGCACATCCACTGAGCGCAAGAGGTAACTAGTTTTGAGCCCCACAGCATATCACATTCCTTGTTATAACTCAAACAGGAGCAGAAAAAAAAAGAAGAACCTGTATGAGCCAAAGACAATAAAATCTTGAAATGGCTCCTTTCCTTTTCAAAGTAGAATCACAAGAAGCTGCTAGCAGAAAGATCTGATAAAGATGTAAGCTATAAATTCAACATTTTCATCCATGGTCAACATCTGCTCATTCAAAAGGGGCCAAAGATGCAGCAATAAGGGCTTTCAAAGACACAATATTCCCAGAAATCCAAACATTAATGGAAAGACTTGGAGTCTCATCTTAAAGAATATGGTTGACCACATTAGGAAAGGCAAAAATACATAAACAACCAGTTCAGAGGAGACATTAATAACATTAGTGCCTTACCAGTGATTTTCTTGGAGTTCAGGAACTTCCTTTTATTTAGGTTTTCTGGGGAAATTTGTTTGTTTGTTTGGGTGGGGAACACTCTGCTAGGCATCTCTTTTCCTTTTTTGTTTTTTAATACCAATCAGGTAACACATTCAACACTGTATTAACGGATGTTGACTGTGGCCTTACTTAACCTCATCAGCCTATTTTCTTTAGCTGGATAACAGCTGAATCATTAGCATTCAACTGGCTTGCAGTCCTGAAAGAGTACAGCAAAAACAAAGTATGTGATTTTTTTTTCCGTCAATCACAAAGCAACATAAACCCAGGTATTTTATACCCAGCTGATGTGATGTTTTGCATGATTTAGGGGTGGACTTTAGTTATTTTTATGTATAATTGCAGTAAAATGACAAAGCAAAACAACGACTTAGAATTTTTTAAACTGGATATTTTCACTTTCCTTCTTTTTTTTTAGTTATTCCTGTTGGGGAAAAAATTAGGGAAGCTACATTAAATATGCAAGATATCTGAATAGCTTTCTGTAATGAAAATAATATATTTCTAATCCAAAGATGGAGGAATTAAGTAGAGAGAGAAGCAACAAAAATAACTCTTATAGCAGCACAAATGCATTGACCGGCTCCTGTCACTGGTCACATATCTGGGAGAGATCAAAACACAGCTTTCCAGTGGAGCAGGCTGAGGTATCTCTTTCTCACACTAGTTGATATTTTATGCTGCATCAGCTACTGAAAATCACTTGAGCTGTATGAAGAGCCAATATACAATAAGGGTCTTGCAAGTGTAGCCCTAAAATGTACTGTTCTTGCAGAAGAAAAACAGTCCTGCTTATAGCAGCATACCCAGCATTTCCTGAAAGCACTCCCAAATACACAGGCGTGTTACCACGGGCCAAGGAGAGCAATGCTGGGCACAGCTAAGGTGCTGGTGATCGCTGGCAGAGAAATAGCGGGTTCAGAGCAGGAGTAGCAATGCAACAGTCTGTCACCATGGTGGCTGCCCTCACTCCTTTCTCACCTTCACCTGGTACACAATTTATCACATGCTAAGAAGAAGTGCTGTGGGATCTCTGTGCTACAATATCGGCAGAAACCACTGAGTAAATGATAACCCTAACAACCTACTTGTAATTCCCTTTGGACTCTCTCATAAATACCAGCTAGCCAGCATTGGTCTTTAAGAAGTATTTCTTCAGGGGAAAATTGCACCTCTGGTGAAGAGAATCCATCAGTCACTTAAATTCAGCAGGACTGACCTTTGAAGCCACAAGCACTGTGCTTATCCTTCTTTAATCACCAATTTTGGGAGCAGGTCCCTCAAAGTAATCTCAGAACCTTTCTATCTTTTCTCCTTTTTTTTTTTTTTTTTAATTTAAAAATGAGTTTACTGCAAATATGTCTTTATAAAGATCATTAACACACCTAAAATTAAGCTCACATTCAATTATTTTGCTTGATAGGTTGTAATGTTCCTAGCCTTTTTCTGTGTGCTTGAAAAAGTAGATACATGATTTTTCTGTTGATAAACCTCAGTAGGCAGCCAAGCATCACTCAACCACTCACCCCCACCTCCAGTGGAATGGGAGAGAGAATCAGAAGGGTAGAAGTGCAAAAACTCATGAATTGAGATAAAAACACTTTAATATTTTTTTAAAAAGGAGGAAAATGACAACAGAGAAAAACAAAACAAAACAAAAACAAATCAAAGCAAAACAACCCCACAAGAAAAACAAGTGATGCAAAATAAAACAATTGCTCACCACCAACTGACCAATGTCTGGTCAGTCCCCAAGAAGCAGCAGCCCCAGCCATCCTTCACCCACGCCCCTCATCCCCAGTTTTATTGCTGAGCACAATGTCATAGGGTGTGGGACAACCCTTTGGTCAGTTGGGATCAGCTGTCACGACATCATCTCCTCCCAACTCCTTGTGCACCCCCAGTCCACTTGCTGGTGGGGTGTGAAACAGAAAAAGCCTCAACGCTGTGTAAGCACTGATCAGCAACAGCTAAAACATCCCTGTGTTATCAATACTTCTATCACAAATCCAAAACATAACCCCATACAATCTACTATGAAGAAATGTAACTATCCCAGCCAACACCAGTATACTGTGTCATGCTAGCAATTCATGTGGAAGTGACAAATAACAAATTTTAGTTTCTGTGCCACCATTCCAATATTCCCATTTCCCACTCAATGGGAAGCACCATACAGAAACACTCATCATGCTGCTTCAGAGCCTGGCTTATGGACAATTGTCTCCTGATGAAGTCCCAGGGCTCACATTTGAAAGTGCTGAAATTCTTAGTGGTCATCACCTGACAGTCAGTACTGGGGAAAGAACACAGCCAGCCCCAGTCTGGACAAAAGGCTTTCCAGAACAGCATGACAAACTCCCAGTTTTGCTTACCAGGCTTTTTTTTTGGCACGGCTGCCCACCACAAGTCTTAGAAACATCTCAGATCAAGATGGTAGCAGGCAGCAGGATCAGGGGACTGAGCATAATAAGAAAATCACATTCCTTATGGTTGCAGTCAAGCCTACATCTCTTTTTCCTCCAGTTTTCCACTTGTAAAAGAGGCACAGTAATATTCTGTGTTACCTCCATGACCCTACCAGCCATGGTGGATTTCTGCTGACCCCTCTGGATGCAATGTCATGGTACCAGGAACCTCTGCACTGCCACTGTCCTTACTTCTCTGTCCCATCCACATCCCAGTCCTTATCCAGCAAAAAAAAATGGTTCTTTTCATTGCAAAAAGCTTTTGTGACTTCTAAATCTTAAATATCACAGTATTCATATTACAGCAGCATCAGTTAGAAGTACCAAGCTGTACATGAAATCCTTAAAAATCTATGTGCTTTAGAGACAAAACCAATTAATTATTTTGCTTGTGCAAAAACAATACCTTAAAATCTAAGGGGACAACATATGTAAAGGTAAATAAACATCTAGACAGGTAGAAAATACTCATCATGAGTAAACATGTTAGCAAATATAATATGTTTTGACCATGCACAATTTTAGTGACAACAGATCCAATTTCTTTTAAAATGTGCATCAAAGTTGCCTCCCTAATTTATTTTCAGGGAGTAAG